CCCACCAGCACTTATGCAGCTACCCAGATACACGAACTTCTCGACTACGTCTATCTGCTCACCATCCAGGGTGAGTACAGGATTAGAATCCTGCCAGTCTTGTAGAAGTACTTTGCACTTCGAAGGTGCAAAGCACATACCATACCTACGGACACTGATTGCCAACTGATTAAGTGCGGATTGCATGCCTTGGGCATTATCGCACAGTAAGACAATATCGTCCGCATACTCAAGGTCGAGAAGTCTTTCTCCAGGCAACAGATCCACACCACCATTACTTACATTCATCAGAGCTGTTTCCAGAATGTCATCGATGGCAAAGTTGAAGAGGAATGGTGAGATTGGGCAACCCTGCCTAACCCCACTGCTCGAATGGAACAATGGAGAGAGGTGGTTGTATGCCCTCACTCTGCCTGAGGTGTTTTTATATAGGGCTTTTAGGATGTTAATAAACTTCTCAGGCACACCCTTCTTCAATAGACAATCCCAGAGAACAGTCCTGTCCAACGAATCGAAGGCAGCCCTGATGTCAAGAAACACTACGATTGTTGGCCTTTGATAAGTATGGCGGTGTTCTAACATTTGGCGGAGGGTGAAGATATGATCAATACATCCTCGACCAGAACGAAACCCAGCCTGCTCCTCGCGAGTCAATCTTTCTCGGGTTTTGAACAACCTACGAAGTATGACGGAAGCCAATAGCTTGGACGCAATCGGAAGTAGACTTATCCCCCGATAGTTGTTACAGGAACGACGTGAACCCTTTTTAAAGATAGGGACAACTATCGACTCATTCCATGACGTTGGTACACTCTCTAGTTCCCAAACCTTTGTAAACAACGTCGTCAATTCCTTAGTCAAAAAGTCACCACCATCTTTAAAAAGAGCCGGAGGTAAGTCATCTGGGCCAGGTGATTTGTAACGCTTCAAGAGTTGGAGTTCCTTGCGGACTTCCTCCTCATTTGGTGGATCAGTCGTCACCGGCCATGGAGGGCAGGACAGTCTGACCGATGTTGCCGGAGCAGCAGGCCAGTTGAACTGCCCTTCGAAAAATTCTGCCCATCGTCCAAGACGTCGATGGATGTTAGTGATTGGCATCCCATCATCCTCGCAGATTGTTTCACTCACACCAGACTTCTTGCTGCCAGTGGCTCGGATGAGCTGGAAGAGCTTCCGGTAGTTACCAGATGCAGCTGCTGCTTCCAGCTCATTAGCACGCATCGACCACCAGGCTTCTCGGTCCTTACGCAAGCTTTGCCCAATTTCCTTACGTAACATCCTTCGTTTATGGTCAAACTCACGGTCACCCGGAGTAGACCGACGGGCTTCAATGAGTTGTAAGGAACCAGAAGAAACCCAGTGCTTAAAGCGGGACGTTTCGCAAACCCACAACTGACTGTTCCCGCCATTTTCATGGCGTCATGCAATTGCAACCAATGCTCATCTATACTTTTCGGTGGAGTGGTAGCTAGCCTAGAGGCTAGCTCGGTTCGATACTTACTTGCAACAGAAGTTGCAACCAGCTTGCTAACATCAATCCGTTGATGGCGTCACTTCGTTGTCCACTGAAAAGTAAGGCAAGATTGGCGCAGACCAAGGCATGGTCAGAGTCCAGATAGGTACTCCAAAAGGAGCGGCAGTCTTGTACACAACCACGCCAGCGGTAGCTGATCGCGATGTGATCAATCTGAGTCCAGGCTTGAGATGCAGAGGGAGGACGCCAGGTGGCACATCGGCGATGACTGTGCCGAAAGTTAGTGCTAGCCAGAAACAGGTTGTGGTCTGTGCAAAGTTGCAGTAGACGGTCCCCGTTATCTGACCTGCGACCAACGAGTCCCCATCGGCCACCTAAACGACTCTCTTCTGTGCCTAGACGCCCGACCTGAGCATTCAAGTCTCCGGCTAGTACTACAATATCTGTCGAACGCACTTTCTGGAGAAGAACAGATAACTGGTGGTAAAACTCATCCTTGATTGCATCCGGGCTGCAATCTGTCGGGGCATAGGCGGAGATGACGAAAAGACATCGTTTCTCACGCCGATTTCTTCTCACTTTGATGGAACTTTCTAATCTAACAGCACATAACCGACTGTTAATGGGGATCCAATCGACTAGTGCTGCCTCAGCTCTAGCGCTTAGTGCGACACCAACGCCAGCAAGACCAGACGAAGATGCCACAGGGTCCCCGGATAAGCGCACGTAAAACAAGCTTTTCGAAGCGACAGATGGAGATCGAATTTGTAGTACTTCGCCAGAGTCTTGAATACGGGTCTCGGATAGACAACAACATCGATATTAAGACTTTCCAAAGACATAGCCAGCCCTATCTGTTGTCCGACCTGCATAAATGTGCGAACGTTGAAGGCAGCCAGTTTGAATGGTGCACGTGGTTTCAGAAAAACTGCTTCAGTACTCGTATTCGGTGGTAACATACAATTTTCAACCGGACAGTGACTCGAGAACGTTTAGATACAGTCGAATTTCCACCAAAGACGAGCCGCTGTATAAGTATAAAAGAGGGTGAATAATGTGGAAAATAATAATAATAATAATAATAATAATAATGATAATAATAATAATAATATATAGTATTAATAATGACAATAATTGTAATGATAATAATTTGAATCAATTGTTTGTTTTTCAAAGCGAGAAAAGTAATTTCCATAGATATAGAGAGTTCATCATTTGTGTGTGGGCTGTGATACTGCCCGGGTGCCCAAACCGAAGCAGGTGGTTATCTTAGGGGGCCACACCCGAGCCTTTGACCTAAAGGTCTAACCCACAAGGCAGTGGAGCATCGTAAGGAGATGCAGTCCCATGGTAGCCGGTGACCAACGATTGGTTCATACGCCATTTGTTCCCGCAGGATACTGGAGCCCATGTGCACCATTGGTTTGGAATCCGGTTAAAGCGCCGGACATTCGCTTTTCGTCCTCTCATTTTCGTAAACAACACCCCCGCCACGAGAAGGCAATGAGTAGGACTTCCCTGGCAGAGGCTGTATACGCGTGGCCGTGTGAGAGTATTTCGAGAGGGAGAGCGGACTCTCCCCACTCTCGGCCGTACCAGGGCATTCGGGGGGAGACAGTACTGCCACATCATTAGTGGAGGATGACTTTGGTAAGGCTCAAGTGTTCTCGAACTACTTTAGCAATGTATATACCGTAGAAAAGCCCTTCCCGTGAGTCCATACAAACCCCCCACATACACACTGGACAGCGTGACCATTAAAGATCTGGATGTGTTTGGTCTGCTGAATAGGCTTAACATAGGTAAATCCACGGGACCCGACGAACTGCATCCCAGGTTACTAAAGAAACTAACTTACTTCGTTGCGAAACCTTTAAGTACATGCTTTAATCTATCCGTAACACAGGGTGGTTTACCAAAAGACTGGAAGAACACCATAGTAAGTCCTGTCTTCGAAACAGTTATGAAACATAAACCTGAGAATTACCAACCCGTTGGCCTAATTTGTGTGGTTGTAAGATTTTTAAAAAAGATTATTCGAAAGGAGCTGTTTAAGTAATTCGATGCAAACCGGATCCTTTCGGAAAAGCAGCATGGTTTTATTATAGGTTATTCCTGCCTCACTAAATTATTAGTAGCTCATGAAAACTGGTGAGCTCTTAAAGACCAAACGTTACGTAAAAACGTAGCCTACACTGACTTCAGCAAAGCTTTTGACAAAGTTCCGCACAACCGGCTGTTATATAAGTTAAGAAATGTCGGGGTTCGAGGGAATCTATTGTTGTGGGCAAAAGACTTTCTAGTTGGGCCAAATCTTAAAGACTACTGCACACTGTCGTGCAATAGCCACCAAAGGTTTTAGAACTTTATGGTCAATATGTAGGGCTTTTAGTCATGTCGACGCTAAAACGCTTTTGACTCAGTATACAAAGTTCGTGCGTACTAAACTCGAGCAATGCATAGAATAGACTAGACCCTGCTTAAAAAAGACAGTGACCTTTTAGAAAAGGTTCAGAGATTCAAATTTGTGCAATAAGGACAGAACGCCTACGGCCTATGTTATTCCTTTTCTAGTATGCTTCTGTAAGTGTCCAGTCTTCTCTTGAATGAGTCGATTGGAGATGCGGACACCACTACTTCGGGTAACAGGTTCCAAGAATTGATGATTCGATGTGAAAACCTGTATACCAAGGGTATTTTCTTCGTCCTTGGCTTTTCTACTCGCCTGCTATTCCCCCTGAGATATCCCAATATAGTGGGAAGAAAAAGAGAGGATATATTAGTCCCAAAATCACTACTTAGTATTATATGCATACAAATCAGATCACGTCTTAATCTGAGATAGGACAGAGTAAAGAGGTCTAGCTTTTCAAGCCGACCTTTCTATGGTAGCTAGCCCCCATATGATGCTCGACTGGCTACGCTAAACCTATTCCCGTTGTTATATTGAAGGACCAGAGGCTAATACATTAGTTTTTTGGACTACCTAGTAATAAATTTTCATCTGATATGCCTTTACTTCCCTTGGCTTCAAAAACAGAGAATTTACGAGGACACTCCAAAAAATTTCACAAGTTCAGAACAAATTACTTGTCAGCTGAACATCGACTTCCCCATCGAATCATCAATGAGTGGAATTCATTACCACAGTAAGTGGTTGAGGCTCCATTTGTCAACACTCTCAAAAGAAAGTTGGATCAACTGAGAAACAACCATTGCCAGGACTAACACAGGCCGTCAAGCCTCTAGTCTTTTCCAAACTGAAACTGAAAACTGTCAATCTAAGACTTCAGAAATCCAAATTTTATAATCAAACATCTAGATCTCTCCATTATTACCTCATAAGGAAAAGTTTACTCAAACAGTGGCCAGGATGATACCAGTTTGTTGACCCGAGTTTGTGAGCCAATGAAAACTGAAGGAACAGTCTAGAATATTCCACGCAAATCTATTGTGTTCCTATTGGTCCATTTGTTTCTATTTTTAGAAACCAAATAATAAATTCTAGAACATTCTAAACAGTATTTATAAAGGCACGCTCAGCGCGCGTTTGTTACTTGGTTTTGTGTTAGACGCTGAACAATGCCCGAATCAATGGTTACTGAGCAACAACCTGAGGAATTCGCGTTTCAGGCTGAGATCGCCCAGCTTATGAGCCTGATTATCAACACTTTCTACTCCAACAAAGAGATATTTCTTCGTGAGCTTATATCTAATGCTAGTGACGCTCTGGACAAGTTGAGGTATAAGAGTTTGACTGATCCATCAGTTCTTGATTCCGGAGAAGATATGTATGTCAAGTTGATACCCAACAAGGAGGCTGGAACTTTGACTGTCCTGGATACTGGTATTGGTATGACGAAAGCAGATTTGATTAAGAATTTGGGTACGATCGCTTCCTCTGGCACGAAGGCGTTTATGGAGGCTCTGGCTGATGGTGCAGATATATCGATGATTGGCCAATTTGGTGTAGGTTTCTATTCTGCCTACCTTATAGCCGACCGGGTTCAAGTAGTGACGAAAAATAATGATGACGACCAGTACATTTGGGAGTCGTCCGCTGGTGGAACTTTCACAATCGCACCAGATGACAGTGAGTTGCCAAAACGAGGCACTAAGGTGATATTGCATCTCAAAGAGGATCAACTAGATTTTCTTGAAGAAAGAAAAATTCGAGATATAGTGAAGAAACATTCTAATTTTATTAACTATCCAATCAAGCTGGTTGTTAATAAAGAGCGAACCAAGGAAGTGTCTGATGATGAGGCTGAAAAGACCGAGTCGAAAGAAGCTGACGAGTCTGATGACAAACCGAAAGTCGAAGATCTAGATGAAGACGAGGAAGAGGAGAATAAAGAAAAGAAAAATAAAAAGAAGGTTGTGGAGAAGTTTACTGAAGAAGAGCAGCTGAACAAGCTTAAGCCGCTTTGGACGCGTAATCCCGAAGATATAAATACAGAAGAGTATGCCGAGTTTTACAAGTCGCTTACTAATGACTGGGAGGACCATCTCGCGGTGAAGCACTTCTCTGTTGAAGGACAGTTAGAGTTCCGAGCGTTGCTGTTTGTGCCTAAACGTGCACCTATAGACATGTTTGAAGGATCGCGTAAGAAGCGAAACAATATCAAATTGTATGTGCGAAGAGTGCTGATCATGGATACGTGTGATGATATGATTCCTGAGTACTTGAATTTCGTCCGCGGCGTTGTGGATAGTGAAGACCTGCCTCTTAACATAAGTCGTGAGGTGTTGCAGCAGAACAACGTATTGAAGGTTATTCGTAAGAGCCTGGTCAGGAAATGTATTGAGCTATTTGAGGAGATAGCGGAGGATAAAGATAACTACAAGAAGTTTTACGAGCAATACTCGAAAAGCATAAAACTGGGCATCCATGAAGATAGTGTTAATAGGGGGAAGCTGTCCGACTTACTGCGTTTCTATTCCTCAGCTTCTGGTGATGAAATGATCAGCATGAAGGATTATGTATCACGTATGAAGCCTGAACAACAAGATATTTACTATATAACAGGTGAGTCAAAGCAAGCTGTAATGAATTCACCATTCACTGAGAAGCTTACTCAACGTGGGTTCGAAGTGCTGTTCATGGTTGATCCGATTGACGAATATGCTGTTACCCATATACGGCAATACGAAAACAAGAAGTTAGTTTGTGTTACGAAGGACGGTCTTCAATTACCTGAGAGTGAGGAGGACAAAAAGCAATTCGAAGAGCTGAAGGCGTCGTTCGAAACGCTGTGCAAAGAGATCCAGCAAATCCTTGGCAAGAACGTTGAGAAAGTTAGTATTTCGAATCGACTTACCAATTCCCCATGTTGTGTTGTGACTTCAGAGTTTGGCTGGTCTGCTAACATGGAGAGGATCATGAAAGCTCAGGCACTCCGGGATTCCTGCACGATGGGTTATATGGCAGCCAAGAAACAGCTAGAGCTGAACCCGTACCACCCTATGATCAAAGCCTTGAAACAACAGTTTGAGAGTGGCAGTTCAACCAAACTTGTTAAGGATCTTGTGCAACTGTTGTTCGACACCGCACTTCTCTCTTCAGGATTCTCACTGCCTGATCCCAAGATACACGCTAAGAGCATTCACCATATGGTTTGCATGTGCCTGGATATTCCTGATGATGAAATAAAGGCGAACGAAATCCCGAGTAACGGTATCCAGAAAGATGTTGCACCGGAAGCTACAGTTGACGAAGATGGTATGGAAGAAGTGGATTAGCGTGTTTGCATTTTTGTATATAACCGGTGACTAATAAACTTTGCTCTCAAATTGATTGTTTTTTCTATATCGACTAAATGCGAGCGTGTCGCTACGTAATAAGTTCCATCCAACATTTGCGTACAAGCCTAGAAGAATAGGGGGTGTTCGGACGGGCATAGAGTGCCTGGAGGTTGGTGTATTAGCCTACGTGTTCGGATACTAGCGCCATTAAGCGACTGTCCAAATTAGTTTATGTTAGCTTGCGGGTAGCGTAGCGCGCTAATACATTTGCCCAAGAATTAAGGTTGCGAATGAGGAATGGCCCACGTTAAAGAATCCTTAGTTGCTTGATTTTAGGTCCAGGACTCGTTGTTTGCGAGCAGTGAATATTGTTGTATAGTGTCTGGTCGCCCAGTGTATGATAATAGTCGGTTGAATGGAATGATAAGACTTCGTCAAACGTTGTTGAGACTACTGAGAAGTTTGTTGAAGACAAGTGACTCGTGCTCTGGGGCTGTAAGTGGATTTGCTCGAAGACTCAGTTAAGTGAGATGATTTCATCTGAGACAGTAAATATTTAGTTGAGTAGTCTGAACAGCCTGCAGTTACTAGTTAGTTGTTTACTGCCCGACAACAGATGGGATGTAAAATGGGTAAGGATGACAATGCACGTGTTTTGTATAGTATTTCACTTTGGAATATACAGGTTGATGAAATGTAATAAGCATTTATTTGGTTTTCAGAAGTGCCTATGTGTAATCGAGTCCGTTGATCGTCACAGTGTGTCGAAGAACGGATGATCGATCAGTTGGATAATCCTGCATATGAAGGTGGGTTTATTATAAGTTTTATCTAGTCGCCGGAGCTATAAGCCTTTGAACTTTATAAGTGGTAGGTGTGTGTCCATTCTTTTAGTTAGTGGTCAGACTGGGTGTCTTTGAATTCCGCGAAACGAGGTGTGAAGTTGTTCGGAGATGCCTACTCGAAACTGAACTAGAAGTGATGTTTGTGTATTCAATAAGTGGAATGGGAGGGACAGTGTATGTATATAGGTGAGATTGTTTGTAAACTGGTGTACTGGCCTAGTATTCTTACACTAGTTTCAATTTGAAGTCAACTAGTGGCGCAGTCATGTCGCATTCATGTAACTAGTTTTGCGGTGAGTTAACGAAGCTTCCTGTGAGAACAGTCGTGCTTTCAAGACGAAATGAATCTGCATGTTATTTAGTTTGAATTTGGAAACAACAGAAGACTGGATGTCCTGTATTAGTCTTGGCAATGGTGGTCTCTCAGTTGATCCAACTTTCTTTTGAGTGTCGACAGATGGATTTTCAATCACGTGCAGAGGTATCGAATTCGACTGGTTGATGATTCTATGGGAAATTCGATAGTCAGCTGACAAGTAATTTGTTCTAGGCTTGTAGACTGTTTTAGAGTGTCCTCGTAAATTCTCTTTTTTTGAGGTCAAGAAAAGTAAGGGCATATCAGATACAGATTTATCACTAGGTAATTTAAAATTTGTGATCAATTCGTCTCTGGTTCTTCTATATGGCAATGGAATTAAGTTTAGTTTAGCAAGTCGGGCATCGCACAGGAGCATTGTTATTCCGGAAATGAGCTAAGCCACGATTCTCTGCACCTTTTTCAACAGCTCGTTTTCTCTTTTTAGGCAAGGACTAGCTACTTGTATGCGGTACTGTAGTATAGGACGAACGAGCACTGTACACAAATTCGAAAAGCTTTTAGCATCTACATGGCTTAAGGCCCTATGTAGTGAACATAGGATTCTAAAATCTTTGAAGTCATTATAGACTACGTTTATACGTCGCTTTTGATACTTAAGCGTGCACCAACTTCCACGAGCTACTAATACATTGATGAGACAGGAATAACTTGCTCTAAAGCCATGTTGCTTTTCAGAAAGAATTCGGTTTCCATCGAGATAATTGGACAACCTAAAATTTTGACAACCACGCTAGTTATAACTAGCCTATAGGCTTACGGGTCGATATTCCTCGAGCTTATGTTTCGTACCCATTTTAGAGACAGGGCTTACTATAGCATTCGTCCAGTCTTTTGATGATGGACCCTGGGTTACAGATAGATTGAAACAGATGCCAGAGGAATTCGTGACAAAATGTACTAGTTCCCTTATTAACCCAAGACACATTTCATTCGGTCCCATTTATTTGGATATATCAAGCACTTCTCGTGAATTAGAATCGGCCTAGAATCAGAACATCCAATATTAGAGTATAATAGCTACCAAAACATGGCTGGTTAATCAATCCAGAAAGAATGATGGTAACCCGTGTTTGCGAAACATTGCTAATTTCGTTGTGGTGACACAGAACTTTACGAATCTGAGAGAAGAGAGTAGTGAATTGGGGCCGAAATATGTTGGTGAAAGTAACCAGTGTACGGAATTATTTGTGGATGAGGAGAAGAGATAGGGGGAAGTTGGTTGATTGTGTCCTGTAGACCTTATTGTTCTCGCTTTTTTTAAAGTCATCGTGGTAGTTGAGTGTGTATGCTTGGTCAGCACTCAAACTTTGGATTTCCTAACGCGTATAATAGGTGACTGAGAAATCGTGTGAATCAGTCAAAAATGCGAGCACAACACTGCATCACTGAACTTGTAAGTGTCCTTTGTAAAATACTTTCGAACCTCACCAGCTGTCCTAGTTAGCCAATGAATGAGTAGCACGACCGAAGCATTGTCTGAAGCTACCTGTGCACTTCATGAAAGTTTAAACCTGAAATTTTCCATAACATTTTCTAAAGTGCGTCATTCATTAGTGTTGTTTTGCTTGATTTGTTACATGAGATAAAATAATTATATTGTATTAGGTTGATATCGTGATTTTATCTGATGTTAGTGACCGGACTGAACCATGTTGGTTGGTCAGAGGTAATCGACTAGAAAACGTGAACCCAGGTTTCGTGCCAGCTGGCACTCATCAGTAAGGTGCAACTGGAATCTCGAGGGAACGGACGTCCTTTGTGGAGTCCGAGCCTACGCCACTCAGTGTCGTAGTTGGAGGCGTTAGCATGAAGCGATTCGGGTCTCTATCGACGTCTATATCTGAACCAAGCATCTGAGCTAGCATACCATCTACTATTATCGATTGTAATATTTTCATCCTTACGATACCAGCAGAGGTTTACCTCTTGACATTCTATTGACTAGTCAGCTGTGAGGGGACTGAGTTGTGGTTTACTGGAATTCGATCTATTGATTATCATGAAGTGAGTCGACTTGAAAATAAATGTATTGATATGTTCTGTTAATCCAGTTGTAATCTAGCTAATCTTGTGTTTGGGTGCTAAATAAATCCCCATCTGTCGATCAGTCTTTTGACTTCTTACAGGTGTCGAGTCACTTCGATAATCAACGATAATCCAGTCAACCACAAGTCATGTCATCGACCTCCTGTAGGATTGAGATATTCAAGCTGGTTCATCACACAGTTGTAACTGGTCCCATGTTTGTCTAACTGAATGGCGACCGAATCCTATCGAACACTTGAACCACTAGCCACTCAGAGAAGCGATGGAATTCCATCACTTTTGATACAAGAAAATTCGTTAGTCTTGACAGAAAATGATACCGTAAAAGTTGAAGCTTTATCGGAATATTTCAGTAAAGTGTTTTCTATCAGTAATGAGGAATGACCAACGATTCATTGTGATCGTGGCGGCTAGTCATTGAGAAAGGTACTGTTTTAAGGCTACTTCAGCACCTCAAACCTGATAAGTCCAGTGGTCTTGATGATATTCATCCTAGGATTATGAAAGCCATATCAGATGTAATTGCTGAACCATTAGCGATACTGCTTGTCATGTCACTGAGGCAGTCTAGACGCTATAATAAGTCAGGTGTATAATGCTGGGATTAGGGATTTAGTTAGTAACTACAGACCCGTTAGCTTACCTAGTGCAGTTATAAAGCTGATGGAAAAACCATGCGAATATCTCGTATGAACTATGTTGAAAGGCATAATCTTTTCTCCGGGGAACAGCATGGTTTTCGGAGAGGCCTATCATGCTTGACAAATCTTCTCATTTCAAGAGAAGATTGGGCTGCTGCAAAAGATCGGAATATTTCTGTGGATGTGATCACCATAGATCTAAGTAAGGCCCTCGATAGGGTATCCCACTCTGGTCTTAAATTCAAACTGGAACGTTTTGGAATCCATTATACAGTCGTAGATTGGATAAGTAACCTTCCACATGACAGGAGACAAAGGGTAAGGGTTGATGGGGCTTTCTCCTCGTGGGTACCTGTAAAAAGTGGAGTTCCCCAAGGCACAATTCTCGGTCCTCTTCTCTTTTTACTTTATGTAAATGAATTATCAACTGTAGCAAAATCACATGTTCGCTGATGACATAAAAATTTGGAGACCCATACACAGTATGTCGGATAGAATAGTATTACAAAATGATCTTAGCTCATTGGTGGCATGGTTAGACAGATGGTCACTAGAAGTAAATCCTAATAAGAGTGTGGTGATGCAATTAAATAACTATGATGAATCGTATCGCTATACAATATGTGGATTCGTGCTACACAAAGTAAGAAACTATAAAGCTTTAGGAGTCATATTAAGCAGTGATCTCAAAACCACTAGTCACTGTAAGGCTGATGCTGCAAAAGGTTATAGGGCATTATGGTCTATTTGTAGGTCTTTCCAGTATCATATATAGATGATGAAATGTTTAGATTATTATACCCGATTTATGTGCGACCACATTTAGAATATGGGATTCAAGCAGCGAGTTTATAAGGAATCGAAACAATTGTTTCAAGTATGAAGCAGGGATGCTGGAAAGAGTCCAACGACGAGGTACTAAGATGGTACAATGTCTGTCTGGCCTTGCTTATGAAGAGAGATTGAGACACCTTAACTTATTTCCGTTATCTTACCGCAGAATACGGGGTGATCTAATAATGGCTTATCGTATACTGAACGGTGACCTTGGTATTAACATGTCTTATCTTTTATTTCCGTCTATGACTGATCATTTGAGAGGACATTCGAAGAAAGTTCAAAAACGGAGATCAAATCGTTTACGTCTGGAGTTTCGTTTCTCGCACCGAGTAGTGAATTACTGGAATTCTCTACCGGAGCACGTTGTAGATCACCAACGTTGATGATCTATGTCGAAAATGATTGGAGGCCTACTCGAGTTAGACGTGAATGGTGTGACAAACTAGCTAACATCGAAGTCACACCTCGTGGTCAGCACCTTACGTGGACTACCTCCATTGACGTATCAAGGTACCATAGATGCTTTGAAGACTGTACAACACAAAGGACGTTATTACAGAAATATATTAGTTAAAGTAGATACAAGCGAAAGTAAGACCACTGCCGCATGGGCCAGTCCATGGAATACGACTAACTGATGCGCGTTGGTTGTACATGACCTTGGCAGGGAGCGATGATCTGTTCGACATTCAGTGATCCAACTGCCGGATGATTTGGCTAGGGCTCAGTGACATTTCGCTGGCCCTACAATACTCCCCCACCAGATTCAACGGCCGTCTGAATTGGTATCAAACACGTTGGGAGTTGTTGCGCGCCGGAGATTACCAAACGATTAATATGAATCCTCCGGGTATTGCCGAGCTGTAAAACAAAATGGAAAGTAGGCGGCAGAAACTGATCGGGAAAACAGCGAGTAATAATATGTTAGTAGGACGTTGGTTAAACGTGAAGAGATTAACCATAGAAATAATGAAAAGAACAAAAGGTTTTATTGTTCTATCAAGTCGCGCTGAAATATATATAGCTTTGACAAGTAATTGAGTTCCTCCGATGACGAACGCTAAGTTTGCCGCAAGAGTAATGATGCTAGAGAGATAGTAGGATAAGTGTATAATCAATCGATGCCGATGTCTATACTGCCATTGATTTAAAGTTGAATGTCAAACAGTGTCGTTGACAGCTTCTAGTTATACCTATATTTAACAGACTAACCGTAAGTACAGAAGTATAACCGTGAAGAGTAGTCGTGATTTCGTTGTGCTAAGCTATTAATCAACTTGTAGTTAGAGTTTGAAAAGTCGATGACTGCAGTTACAGTCAGTAAGGGTCGAAGGCTACAAATCGACAGCGAAGGTGGCACGGTGAAGTCTCTAAAAGATGATAAACGCTGAGTGCTGCGTGTTTGTTCGGTTAGTGAACAGAAAAATATCGAAAAGAACATAAGAAACCAAGAGTGTCACTCTAAACTCATGTCAATGATACCAGTGAAAAACGCTGTCAGTGTTGGGATAGAGGCGACAATGTAGTTTTCAGT